CATAACTTTGTTAGTGAATGGAATATCTATTCTACTATTATCCAGAGAGGATGGCGTGAGAACCGCCAATCTAAATGAAAGTCTGGAACCGCTGATGCGGACCCACTTCCCGGGATCCACATCAATGGAACGGGAAGATTGGCCAGACGAAATTGAAAACCCACCCGCAGTCTTGGATTGGCAGATTGCCAACCAAACTGTAACTAAAGACAAAATTAGATGGGCAATGCTCACCCTTCAAATCACCAGGCATTGACGGTATATATCCAGCCCTCTTACAATGGAGCTTGGATGCTTTAATGCCGCAACTGGAGCGGATGTTTAGGCTGTGTTTTGCACACCTTTACATTCCAAAGATCTGGAGGGAGGTAAGGGTTGTATTCATTCCCAAAACAGGGAGGCTGGATTATACCTCCCCAAAGGCGTATCGACCCATCAGCCTGACCTCGTTTCTGTTGAAAACGATGGAAAAGCTGTGTGAACGATACATAAGGGATAGTGTGCTGTTGGACAGACAGCCACACCCTAATCAACATGCATACACTCCAAGGCGATCTACCGATACTGCTCTCCATCGGGTGGTGGGCAGGATCGAGAAATCTTTGGACAACAAGGAGTCCACCCTGGGGGTATTCATTGACATAGAAGGGGCGTTTGACAAAACATCCTTTCCCAAAATCAACTCGAAACCCCTCTCTCATGGAGAGAGATGTTTCTTCCACCATCTGCAGATGGATATCGAATATGCTCACAAAAAGAGCTATACAAATCAGTGTGGGGGATGCCTCCGCGAGAGGAATTGTTGCAAGGGGCTGTCCGCAGGGAGGTGTTCTATCACCACTGCTGTGGAACTTAGTTCTAGACGGTCTCTTGTGCCACCTCAACTCGGAAGGCATCTATACCATCGCTTATGCAGATGACCTCACTATGCTGATTAGCGGTAAATTCGAAGGGATCCTTTGCCAAAGAATGCAAACAGCCCTGAGAATTATTGAAAAGTGGTGTGAGGACCATGCTCTGTCAGTGAACCCCAGGAAGACGGATACGTGGTGGTTTTCTTTTAATTCATTACATCTGTTAAATTCCCAGCCATTTCTAAACTTTCTAGACAACCATCTATTTGAATTATTAGAGAATGTTCCATTAAATATACGACAAAATACTGAATACAAATGGATGGTGCCCCTTGAGGAGAATAATACAAGAAAGGCTTAATGAAAATTATATGGGGTGATGGATAGGCAGAAGACCAAATGCCAATGTCAACCATAATGTTGGAGAGGGTCCAGTGTCTCGGCCAGCCAGATCGCCAGATCTAAACCCCCTGGATTTCTATGTTTGGGGTTACCTATCTGAAAAGTAAAGTTTACTTCAATAGATATTACTGTAGCGAATAGAACGCAGGTAAATGGGGTGGCAAGAAGAAAGGTCCGCATCCTTTATTGCGAATTATTCCGAGCTATACTTTCACAGAAAATTCCTGTTGAAAAGATTTTGTTCGAATTTCATGAAGATTTTCTTGTTACCAAATATGCAAATTGTGAAAATTCACTACCCATCGCCTTGTGAACGCAGCCTCATCAGATCAAAGTATTTCTAGTAAGAATTTTAAAAACCACTGATAAAAATTCAGGCATCTCTCTGCAGCTAACGGATGTAAATTTTGCACAGGTTGTAAATGGTACGGATTTCTGCTATCTTTATGTAGAACTTTTCAAATTTTTGGATTTACTCACCCCAAGTTGCCGAGACGTTCTTCGTGTACTTAACCAAAGATCGTCGTCAAATACTCTTAAAATTTCATTTCTGTGTCTTTCATTACTCCGTCGTGATTTTCCAAATATCGTTTTAATCCAAAAAGATGAAAGCGACGAGTGTAAAGAATTTTGTTGATATGCTTACAAATTGCACTTACTTTTAAGCATAAACATAAATATTATAATTTTATGGTTAGAAGTGTCTGCTACAAGGGGATTGTGTTGGTATGAATAACTTGAGAACGGTGAACTTTAGGGAAAAAATTCAAATTACCTTTTTTACGTATTTTGTGCAATAGAATATAAATCCGTTACAATGTAAAAAATACAGTGGCGTAAGTTTGTTTTATAAAAAAGGGGGTGACTCTGTCCAGTTGGACACCACTATTTGAACCTTTAGAGCTCATATTTTTGGTAATATAAGGCCTACTATCATACATTATCTGTACTAAATTTTATTGAGATCGATTGATAGATTCCGGAGATATGAACAAAAATTCTATTTTTTTTAACAACTTCAACACCCTGTATCTCTAAAACGAGGTCGTTCCAGACCTATGTTTATAAGGCAAACACCTACTGTTTTAAAGTGATTTATCTACCATTGAAGTTTCCTGCTTAAAATTCGGACCGCCCTGTATATTTTGTATTTTTGTTGTTTGTAGGGAATTTTTTAAATTTTTTCACCCAATAAATCCAATAAGTAAAGAAAAAAAGAGACAAATTAGTAACTTCAGAAAATTTGTATTGTTGTTCAAAGATAACATAAATGAATTGCAACATGATTATATGTATTTTATGTGGGTAATAGAGATATTGATAATAAAAATATCCGCGGTTATTTTTATGCTAGCAATTTAATTCAGAATTCATTCATCTAGAAAATAATAAATGTATAATGATTACTATTGTACTATTAACTACGTTCGTTTATAAAAAACCTTCGCTTCATTGTAATTGACTACCTCTCACTCGCAACTCTATAAAAAAATATTTTTTTGCTGTTAAATGTCAATTTTCTACCGTTATATAGTCGTGAAGAGCCACTATTTAACTACGATTAACTTATTTACTTATTACTGATTATTTAAATTTATTCAGTATTTATTTAATCGGACTTTTATTACAATCAACATTATGTAGTAAAATAATACATAAAATAACGTTAGTTTATTAGATTTAGATTGGATTGGAAGAGGTTGAGTAATTTTCTACTAGTTTTTGCGTTACGTTTTGCGTTAACTGTTAATAATGAGCATGTATTTACCAATATCTATACATTCTTCATGTACATTTCAGAAGGCCTTTCATTTCACAAAAATCATGATATTCAGATCGGTCACATTTATTTCAGAGAGCATAAAATATTTTAACTTGCTTTATTTCTTATAGCAAAAAGATATCACAAACAAACAATTCTACTCCTATAAACAATTCCTTATGTTAAATTCATAAATAAAAACGGGGCAATATTGTCTTATCTTGTTTTGTCGAGACAATATCCCGTAAAATAATCACAAAAACCTTCGCATCGGTACCTCCTGGATTTAGTGCAAAAATTTTCGGAAACTGGATCGGTTGTAAACGGAACGCATCAACGTGAACAGGTCGTACGTAATGAGAGTAATCAGGTAGCTGTCCTGGATCACATCGCAATAGAACCAAATTTGAGTCTCAGAAAACTTGCAACTACTTCAGAATTTCTGTACCTAGTAACCGCCGTATCTTAAAAATTCGTAAGTATCACCCATACAAAATTAATTTGGTACAAGAAATTAACGAAGATGATCCCGATCGTCGCTTGCAGTTCTGTGGAGAAATGAGTGATCGTGCTCGAAGAAAACCAAATTTTTTGTACCCAATCTGTTTTTCCGATGAATGTACGTTCCAACTAAATGGTGCTACTGGAGTGATTAAAATCCACGCATTTTTCATGAAACTCATAACGAATATCTACCCGATGATTGTGGAAGTATTGGAAAATTACAGCGTATTGTCAGAAGAATATGTGTGTTTTCAGCAGGATGGTGCTCCAGCACATTATGCCGCAGCTGTGCGTGATTTTCTTAATCAGAACTTTCCAAAGGACTGGATAGGACGCAGAAGTTAATTGAGTGGCCTCCCAGATCGCCAGATCTAACGCCCTTAGACTTTTTTCTATGGGGACACTTAAAATCGAAAATTTTTGCAACACGACCAAACTCACTTGACGTGTCTCAGTTTTTTTTTAACTCCGATATTTCCCAGGTGGGAAGTTTTAATTGGCACACTCTGTATTTCTTCCCTAGTAATTAACAGACGTAAAAACGTCTAAAAAGTTTGCTTGCATATTTTTTTTATCGGCTTGTTTCACAATAAACAAATAATAATAAAAATGAAGCAACCATTCCACTTTTTTCCGCCTTGAATTAAATATATTAAGCAACGCAATTGCGAAACGCGCAAACCTTATTACCCCTTCACCGAACATTACAGATCATACATCGACAGCGTTTCAGAATGCGATTTGCAGTTTCATCACTTAACTATTAAAGAAAAGGTAAAATATACATTTCAAAAAAATATATTTGAGGTTGTTCAACTTAACAAAAAATTTTCTAAAAATATTCAAGTTATTTCCAATTTTATTTACTCACAATTTCTGGACACTCTGTATAAGGCGAAACATATAAAATATTCTGCCAATAAAGAAATCGCAGTAAATGTATACAATCCCTTTAGAATGGTTGAATGAAAACATTAAATTATATCCTGCTGATCCTGTTATTGACTTAAATATTAATGTAGATGTCACAACCTAAATATTATGTTTACTAAAGAATCCCTACATTAAATAGCTTAGTGAAAGGTTGTATTATACTTTCTTTCTTGAAATTATTATAGCATAAGGTTATAATGTCTTAGATTAAAACACTCTAGAAAGCAGAAGATTTATATTTCTACATTTTTTCTTTTACAATGGGAAACTGTTAATAGTGTATACTTTTACTTACAATTATTCGAGAATCTTGGCCAGTTAAAGTTAAATAAATGAGTAAAAGAGCTGACAGATAACGACGAGTTGTCAGAATAAATCACTTAATCTAGCAGAATAACATGTTTGAAGAGTTCTACAAAATAAGGATTCATCGCAAAATACACACATTGACTATGAAATATCTTAGTTATAACGATTTTTATATGTAGACACAGCTAAGTCAAAATCAATTGTGGTTGTTTAGGAAATAAAAATAAATGACTCACTTTTAACAACGCTGATCCTCCAGCTGCTCCAATGCATTGCACGACGATGAAGAAGATGGCCCTCAAGAGTTTTATGTCTCCTGTGACGAAAAGGCTTAGCGTAACTGCTGGGTTAATGTGGCAACCGCTGATATGACCAATAGCCTAGAAAGAAATAAATCGTCATTGGTGTTGATTTACTAGACATTTTATAGAAACAGTTCAAAAACTGATCTATATAGAAACTATCGACAACTCAAAATTTGAAAAATTATAACAAGTTTTAAAACAAAATATCATTTTTGGATTCTCTTTAAAAAATTATTTAGTCGAAATATTTTCGAAATAGTACATTATGTATACTATATGTATTATGTTAGTGAAGCCAATTATATTTCCGGACGATGATAAAGAAAATTTTTACTATGAAGTACACATATTATTTTTTCTATAATTGCAATCAATATTATTATAAATTAAGGAATAACATTTTTCATTACAATATAATTGCTTATGAAATCGTTTCTTTAACGGTCACTATTTATTTATTGTTACGATGAAAGTTAGATTCACTTTAAAACTTGTAAGTATGCTAAAAAGTATTAAAACGTATTTAAAATGGACAGTGATGATATGTGTCCGGGACAACACCACAGTTAATAACAGCTGTAAAATATATTATTTCAAATTTATTGTCAAATAAATCTAGAAAAGAGTACGAATTCCCTTATAAACATTCATATATTATTGCCACAATAAAAAAATACGACCTCCCGTTCAGAAAATGTTCCGCTTCATACTTTTTCGATTTATCACCTACAAAGTTGAAGTCATCTACGTTATGGTCAAATTACACTATCAAACTGTTTTGTTGGCATTTTTAGCAACAAAAATAGATAACAATTTTATGCAAAATATATTCCATAGTGAGAGCAAAAATAAATATTAAACATGATATTGATATTTCAAGACAAAAAAAAACCGACAATGTTAACAAATTCTTAGAAGATGTTCCGAACAATATATATTTAGCAACAAAGCAAAGGTGATAACGTCAATTTCAAAAATTTAGATGACATTATTGCAGTTACAAATCCAGATTCTAAAAATAGTGTTACGTGCGTTTACAATTACTTCTCATCTGGGTCCTGTTTCTCACCTAGAAATTCTCAAGAAATATATCAAGATTTGATTGGAAATTAAAACTGATATTTCATGCTTTTTTGTTAGCTATCAATCAGGTGGATATTACAACCAACCTGTCGGCAAGAATACTCTTTCTATGATTCCTAATACGATTGCATAGTTCTTGAAACTAGAACATCCTGAAACATATACAGGCCATTCATTTCGAAGAACATCGGCAACGTTAATGGCTAATACAGGACAGTCACAATTGCAGCAAGTTATGTTGCTGACAGTTTATATAACAAAATTAAAATAGCCAACAGGATTCTTTACAATGACACGTCAACTCTAGATTCTAGTAGCATCATGCTGTTTTAATAGATCAGTCAGATAATATTGAGCCTCCGGTAACTGAGCTTTTTATTGATTGAAAACAAGCAAAAACTAATGTCTTTTCGGAAACCGCTTTGTTGGCATTTTTAAATAACAAAAAATTTAATTTATCAACTTTATGGAAAATATGCTCGATGCTGAGAACAACAATAAATGTAAAATATGATGTTCACAAATTCTTAGAAGATGTTCCGTGGTATATATTTAGAACAAAGGTGATAATTTGCAGAAAAATGTATTTATTACATCTCGCGAAAAAGCCAAACCGCAGTTAATTATAGTAACCGCGTTAGCGGTTTTTCACCAAAAAAAAAAAACACTAAAAATATTTGAAATTATGTCCTTTCCTTAAACGTCAAGGTGACAACCATAAACCAAAGAGCTAAAAAAAGTTTTGTCAAACTATTTGAATCTAGGCAGGTCAAAGATTCCCAAAACTATTTACATTCTGGTATCGCTTTCTGGTGGTTGCATGGCAATGAATTAAAACACTAGATAGGATATTTGATATCTAAAATTGCGCTGAAAGAATAGTCATTTCAGAGAAAAGTGAAGCTCTTTCATTTAAATTTATCAAAATGGAATCGTATAAAATGGAAGAATGAATTCGTGATTCGTATTGAAATATAACAAGTATATGAACTACTTTACTAAAAATAAAAGTCGTTAAACAAAAATACTGAAACTCTAATATACACACATATTAGTAATGCTATATTTAGATAATGGTTATGTTTCTTTAAATTCAATGGAACTTTTTGAATCGTCAAACTATAACGTCGAAATTTGTCTTTCATTAACGGACATTTTTATTGATTACTAATAATCAAAACAAAACGTCTTGGAGCACAATATACAACAAAAAAATTCAGACAAAAATAAATATTGTCTGTAAGTTGTTTAGAGTTCTTGATTCGCCCTGTATATTCTAAGATTGTGAAGAAATTATATAATAAGTAACTACTAGAAAAAGAAACATTATTAACTGCAAAAAATACTTTACATCGAAAATTGTGAAACCTAACTATCTAATGTTTTTATTGTTGTTATCGATTTAAAGTTGCTTTTATGAATTTCTTTATTGCATATTACTGAAAAAAAAAAAAATCGATAACATACAAACATTGCTGATGATCACTTTAATTTAAATAATTTTATTACCGTAATAAAATCAAGTCTCATTGCTCATAATAAATGCAATTTTTTCACCATTCCCACGTATTAGATTGCAAAACGCTTTGATATACACGAACACAAACACGATACGGCAATTTCGGCAACATGTTACTAATGTCGAAACAAAAATATTGCAAAGATGAGTTTCCAAGATAAAGAGTGATGGGTTAAATGCGAAAACACGATTGCGAAAATTTTAACATTGTACACTGATACATAATATTGTTTTATTGCGATTCGTCTAAAAACAGTGCAAATTTTGGCCAGTTTGGTTATATTTAATTCAAACAGTGGCGGCTCGTATATCTAGAACAAGGGGGGTCAATTTTAAAAAGTTAACATACATATAATGGTTTATATAACAAAATTCTCGATTTTTTTTCGAAATACGAAGTAGACTATAATTTTATCATTGAAGTTATTCATCTGCTTTATCAAGAATGTGTCTATAGTGAGCGTAACATGTTTCATTGTATTTCTTAAAAATGTATTTGTAAAGTTAAAAAACGAGACTCGCTTTGGATTACTACACAATATACAGGGATGGCCAGAAGTACGGAATAAAATTCATATCTTTTGAATGAGTAAATTTTTTTTAAAACGCCGAAACACGTTAACTGATTTTGATTTTTTCCCATCTTTCGGTTATATAATAATAAATTTTTCTTCAACCCCCTAACCCCTAGCTACCCCTACTTTTTTTTTAAATGGAAACATAAGGCATGAGGGGGCTCGTTGAAAAGCTTATAGAAAACCGAATCCAGTCATACCAAATAAACAAGTTTTATTTTTTCAATAACAAGTTTTTTTTCATTTAGAAATTGAAACAACTAGATAATTTACAAAAATAAACTCAATGTCGCAAATGCTGAAAATGTCCTCCATTCACTATTTGGCATTCTCCAAGACGATAGTAAAAGCTGTCCACAGCATTCTGAATGACTTCAGCTGGTAAATTATGCATCTCCGCCCTAATCTTGTTCTTTAAATTCTCAATATTATCCGGTCTGTCCTGGTAGACTCTTTCTTTCAAATATCCCCAAAGAAAATAATCCAGGGGTGTTAAGTCGGGGGATCTTGGCGGCCATTCAACTGTACCCCGTCTACCAATCCAGCGATTTGGAAACATTTCATCTAAGTATCTTCGAACATCAATACCAAAATGTGGGGGAGCGCCATCTTGTTGGAACCAAATTCTTTCATTCGGTATATCTGGATCAATTTCATGAGGGAAAATCACAGCTAGAGCAGGTATCAGGTCAAATGTTAGGAAATCCAGGTAGCGTGCGGCAGTAAGATTTTCTTCAAAAAAGAATGGGCCCAAGATTCTGTTGTTGATGATACCTGCCCATACATTAACTTTTTGTGGATGCTGCGTATGCGATTCGCATGTCCAGTGTGGATTTTCCTGGGACCAAAAGCGATAGTTGTGCCTGTTAACCACTCCATTTAAATAAAACGTAGCTCCATCCGAAAAAAGTACGTCTCGTTGAAAACCATTATTGTCGTCACACCGTCTCATCATTTCCTCACAAAATTGTAATCGCTTATCATAATCGTCTTCCAAAAACTCTTGGACAAGACATACCTTATAGGGGTGGTATTTCTCTTGTTTCAGAAACATTCGAATTGCAGTTTCGAGAAGGATCGTGATTGCGGACCAATGAAACAGTTGAAGTATGAGGATTTTCAACAAGTTCTAATGCACTGTCTAATTTCTTTTCTTCATTCAAAGCATGGAGGACATTTTCAGCATTTGCGACATTCAGTTTACTTTTGTAAATTATCTAGTTGTTTCAATTTCTAAGTGAAAAAAAGCTTGTTATTAAAAAAATAAAACTTGTTTATTTGGTATGGCTGGATTCGGTTTGCCTTATGTTTCCATTTGAAAAAAAAGTAGGGGTAGCTAGGGGTTAGGGGGTTGAAGAAAAATTTATTATTATATAAAAAATCAAAATCAGTTAACGTGTTTCGGTGTATTAAAAAAAATAACTCATTCAAAAGATATGAATTTTATTCCGTACTTCTGGCCATCCCTGTATTTAAAGTTTCACACTCAGAACAAGTATTTCACAAGTAATTGTTCCTAAATATCTGTAACAAGTGCACTGACTCACTATTTAAAAAATATCCATTTTAAAATACTTCAATTCAGTTTTAACAGTTCATGTTTATTCCGTTTTAATTAATTTGAAAGCATTTGAGGAAAAGTTCTTTTTTAATTTTTAAATCAGCCTGCGTGAAACAATTGAGACACTATTAACTGATTACTGAAGCCAATCCTGTGGTTAATCTGTAAGTCTCCGGTTTTACATGTTTGTTGATATTTGTCCACCTGATATTAATTAACTTGACACTTTCAGATATTGTTATCCGTGAACCCATTATTTCAAGTTGTATTAAATTTTCCAAATTAGAAACAGTACAATTAAACTGCTGATTTTTATAAGTATCGTAAATCCTTTGTA